TGCTTTTCTAAATACTAGTGATGAATTATCAGAAAGAGAATTCAAGAAAAAAAATCCCATTTACAATTGAATCAAAAAAGAATAAAATACCTGGGAATAAACTTAACCAAGGAGGTAAAGGACCTATACTCTGAAAACTATAGGACAACAATGAAGGAAATTAAAGATGATAAAAGAAACAGAAAGATATACCATGTTCACAAATTGTTAGAATGCTATTATAATGTCCATACTACCCAAAGCAATCCCTATCAAAATACCCAAGACATTTTTCAAAGATTTAGAATTAATAATCTTAAAATTTACATGGAACAACAAAAGACCCCAAATAGCCAAGACAATCTTGAGAAAAAAGAACAAAGCTGGAGGTATCATGCTTGCTCACTTTAGACATTACTACAAAGCTACAGTAATCCAAACAGTATGGTACTGGCACAAAAACACACACATAGATCAATAGAACAGAATAGGCAGCTAAGAAATGAATGCACACACCAGTGGTTCAATTGATCTATGACAAAGGAGACAAGAATATACAATGGAGAAAAACAGTCTCTGCAGTCAGTGGTGCTACAACAATGGACAACTATATGTAAAAGAATGAAATTAGAACATTCTCTAACACCATATACAAAGAATAAACTCAAAATGGATTGAAGACCTAAATGTAAGAACAGAAACCAGAAATCTCGAAGAAAACATAGGCTAAACACTCTTTCCAATAAATTGTAGCCGTATTTTTCTGGATCTGTCACCTCAGGTAAAGGAAAAAAACACAGAATAAACAAATGGAACCTAATTAAACTTAAAAGCTTTGACACTGCAAAGGAAACCATCAACAAAAGGAAAGACAACCTACTGAATGGGAGAAAATATTTGCAAATGATATTTCTGATAAGGGGTTAATATTCAAAATATATAAACAGCTCATGTAACTCACTATCAAAAAAAACAACCCAATTAAAAAAATGGGCAGAGACCTAAATTGACATTTTTCCAAAGAAAACATACATATGGCCAACAGGCACACGAAAAGATTCTCAACATCACTAATCATCAAGGAATTGCAAATCAAAACCACAATGAGGTACCACCTCACACCTGTCAGAATGGCCATCATCAAAAAGATCACAAATAACATGTTGGTGACGTGGAGAAAAGAGAATCCTAGTACATTTCTAGTAGGAATGTAAATTGGTACAGCCACTATGGAAAACAATAAGCACTTTCCTCAAAAAACTAAAAAAAGAACTACCATATGATCCAAAAATTCCACTCCTGAGGTACATATTCAAAGAAAATGAAAAGACTAATTCAAAAAGATATATGCACACAATGTTCATAGCAGAATTATTCACAACAGCCAAGATATGGAAGCAACCTAAGTATCCATCAATAGATGAATGAATAAAGAAGTTGTGATACATACACACACACACACACACACACACACACACACAGAGGAATATTTCTCAACCATAAAAATAAATGAAGTTCTGCCATTTGTAACAATATGGATGGACCTACAGGATTTTATGCTTAGTGAAATAAGCCAAATACTGTAGTTATTACTTATATGTGGAATAAAATGAATATATAACAAAACAGACTCACAGATAGAACTAGTGGTCACCAGTGAGGAAAGGTAAGGTCAAGGGGCTCAACAGAGGTGGGGGATTAAGATGTACAAACTACTATGTATAAAGTAAATAAACTACAAGGATATATTGTGCAGCACAGGGAATTATAGCCATTGTTTTATAATAACTTTAAATGGAATATAATCTATAAAAATATTGAATCACTAAGGTGTACACCTGAAACTAATACTGTATATCAACCATACTTCAATTAAAAATTAGATTAAATTAAAAATACAATAAAACTTTTAAAGACTTATTATAGGGCTTCCCTGGTGGCGCAGTGGTTGAGAGTCCGCCTGCCTGATGCAGGGGGCGGGGGTTCGTGCCCCGGTCCGGGAGGATCCCACATGCCGCGGAGCGGCTGGGCCCGTGGGCCGTGGCCGCTGGGCCTGCGCGTCCGGAGCCTGTGCTCCGCAGCGGGAGAGGCCACAGCAGTGAGAGGCCCGTATACCGCAAAAAAAAAAAAAAAAAAAAAAAAAAAGACTTATTATAAAAACTGTAACCATCATTTGAAGAAAGAAAATATATGGATGTTTGAAAACTGGCTTGTCTCACTCATTAGTCTAGATGATTTACTTCTGTACACAATAATCTGAATTCTTACCTAAGCAAAAGTCAAAAATTACCACAGGTTATCATACATCAGGACTAAATCCAGGCATTTACAGAGCAGCAAAATAAATTCATGGGTAAAAGAATAATACTGTACAATTTCAAATACATTAAAAAAAAAAAGAAGCACCTACAGTTTCCCAAAAAGTTTATAATCTCATAAGGGAAACAGGATAAGACTATTAAACTACAGTGCTTTATAGAAAACTACAAGTACTATATACTAAAGGAACAAATAAAGTGCTATGGGAACATAAAGGAAGCAGAGATATATTTCAATCAAGCAAAATAATAAAAATTTCATCATATATATCAAGTTAGGCCTTGAAGGATAAACAGGATGCAGTCATACAGGGATAGAGGGCATGTACTTAGAAAAATCCAGATGAACAAAAATTCAGAGACAGGAATTTGCAGAGAAATACAACAGAAATTAATTAAACTATTTTGGTTGAGATGCAGATCACCCAAAGGAAAGAGTCCAATCTAATGTGTTTGGACTCTATTTGCAGGCAGCATTTTGTGGTCTTTAAAAGAGAATAATAAATATAGCACCTTTCTTTTCAATCTAGGCTCTGAGCAAGTTAAGAAACATAAAAAAAGCATAAGAAATAAAAGACAAAAATTACCGTTATTGCTAATGAAAGCTAAATTGGAATTTTTCTTTCAGTGAACAACAAATGCATCTGTTAACCCCACAATGAGGCAGATTTTCCCAGGTGTAGAATGCACTGAACCAACCCCGCACTTCATATCATTCCCCACACAATCTCTTCAAGCAGTCTGTTCCATAAGCAGGAAAGGCAGGGCTAAGCCAAGTACACCCAGTTTATTCTTTGCAAATTTTCTAATAGAAAATGTACTTCATATCCTCAAAGACAGAATGAGAAAGGAGGGTGGCATGAAACACCACTAGCAGAGCATCATCCACGGAAAAGGAAATACTACAAACAGCAAAGACACATTCCCCTTAACTTCAATCACTGAAGATTTCTAAACAGAATAATACCATGACAAAAGCTGTAGTTTGAAAAAGTTAGTCTGACATCAGTTGTAGGATGCTGAAAAACAAAAACGTTATTGTAACTGCCCAGGCAAGAATAAATTAGGGCCTGAACCATAATAATATTTAACGTCAACCGGTTCTTAGTTCCAGGGGCTGTCTTCAGTTCACTTCATATATTAACTCAGCTCCAGTAAAGATGATATAAATGAGACAAAGAGGTGAAGACATACAACTAACAAATGGCATTTAAACTAGGAGTAGCAGCAGGAATGGAAAAGATGATTTAGATGCAAAAAAAAAGACAAAAATTACATAAGCAAATGAGTAAGTCAACAGACACTGACTTACTTGAATCAGAGAAGTTTATATAAGAATTTGTAAGAAAAGATTATATTAATTAGAAAAGCTGTAATTCAATGCTGGAAAGTTGGTAAGATAAGCATGACAAAGTACTATAGCTTCTTAGGAAAGGAAAGGTAGTTTTCTGTAACAGTATTTCTAAGAAAAACTAATCACTATTTCAATGTATTAAAGATACTCAAGAGTTTACTACATTCCGTTGTTTGATATAGAGAACAGACGAATATGTGCAAAACCGAAGATCATAAGCCAGGGATACCTGAACATACCAGACCATTCATGCCCACAAACAGCAGAGCATGATTTCAGAAGAAAGCATGTAATCACAATGGGTAAAATCAACTTCCTGACTTCATGCAGCTCCTCTTTCTTGCTCTACTACCCACTGGTTACCCCCCTTTGGTACTTTCCCCCTAACTTCCTCAGGTCTAACTCAGAGACAAAACAGAACTTAGTAAAGATATTCCAAAATCCTCTGGCCCCAAAGTTCCAAATGGGCAGCTACTTAATTATAAAGTCAATACAGTTTACCACACCAACGTTTTCAGAATTAAAATCAAACTGGGGAAGAAACAAAAACACAAAACATTGATCACAGGACTTCATAATCACTCTTTCATATTTTTCATTTATTTGTGCCTCTATGTTGCATTCAAATTCTTGAACTTGATAGACTAAATTCTTAAAGACTATCTTCTTGTTCACTAATTCTGTCTTCAGCTGTATTCAGTTTGTTGCTTCACCATTTTACAAGTTTCTAATTTCAACTCTAATATTTTTCATTTATAATATTGGCTCTTTCTCAAATCCACCTTCTTATTAAACTTTTAACCCTTATTCATATTTTCTATACCTACTATTACTATATAAAGCTATTAAATATTCCAAAAGATAAAGGTTTTATGAGTCTGATTTGGTTGTTTATTGTTTCGGATGACTCTCATTCGTGGACTATCGTTACATTTTCATGTATAGTATGATTTTAGATTATGACCTTAAATGCCATAGAACTTGCTTCTGGGAGACCTGGGAGACCTAAATTGACAGTGTCATCCTTTAGAAAGGACTGGTAGTTATTTCTGCCAATCATTTCAAGGCACTACCAACTCAAGAATGCTTTAAATTCTCACCTTGAAGATTTTCAGCTGTAAACCAAATTCTGTACTCAACCATATATGCCCTAGATTTATAAATATAATATACATTTAAACTCATTTCCTACAAAAAAAATTTAAAAGAACATATCACATTTCATAGTTGTTCCCACTGATTTATTAAATACCACCAAAAATAATATCTTACAAGGAAACTGCATTTACATAAATGTGTATCAGTTAAAGGCAAATCAGAAAAGTAAAGCATTTTAAATGTTCTCTTACCTGTTCAAGTGCTTGGGTTTTCTCTTGCTCTATTTTCCTTATAGTTTCCTTTTCAGCTTTGAGTGATAATGATGACACAGTTTTAACAGACATAAAATCAACAGTCATCCATTCATCCCTCTGTTAAGAAAAAGAAGTCACTTCAATCTAAATTGATTAGAACAACACTAAACACTTAACAATAAATTAGAGATTCTGGAGGCACTGAAACCTGGATTAAATCCCACATGGCTGTATAACTTAAAGCAAGTTTCTTAGTCTCTCTAAGCCTTCTTCTCTCCCCTGTAAAAATGGGTTAAAATACCTACCTTTCAGGAATGTTTTAAGGAGTTAACAAGAAAACTGACTTAAGGCATCTAGCCCAATGCCGGATATACAACAGGCTCTCAAACATAGTTCTTTTCACCTTTCTTTCTTCATTGTTGCTAACAGTGTAAATATAGCATTCTTCCTCAGGCGTATGAACTATAACCCCAAATTTGTGAACTATTCAACTATAAGCGTTGCTAAGAAAATTATGGCATGAAGTGAAGGGAAAGAAAAACTGTGACTGAACTCTACTCGCTGTAGAAAAGTCAGATAGATGTAAAAATACAAGACTTCAAGTACATAAGGGGAAAAGTGCCACTTCCTTATCAACAACCAGAAGTAGGAAACCCTCTGAGGGACTAGAATAGGGACAAATGCTAACTTTCCCACAAGAGAAGAAGGGGAGTGAAAAGGATCAGCAAACAGCATTATTGCTAAAATTACTCATAAAAGTATACTGTTTACAAAGTCTAGTTTTTCTTCTGACTAAATTACAATCATCTTTCATTTTAACATTCACCTACTCTTGTAAGTTGACGCTTTCTTTGTTTAAAATCAGGCGATTTACCTGAATAACTTCGTTGTCTTCTTTTTCTGACTTTTCATCTTTCACCTTCCAGGCCTTTTCCTTGCCAGAAGTGTGGGAGGAAACAGCCTCAACCCACTCATCTTCAGAGCTCTAAGAATATTTAACATATAAGTAGAATTCTCAAATTTACATACTTCCGCATAAAAACTGTGTGGTTCCACTCTTCCTCCTTTTCTCAACCCTTAAATATCAACTTTGTCTGTGTTTCCAGTCTTTGCCAATTATACTTTTTAATCTCTAGACATTCCCCTTGGGACATTAAATCCACTCTCATGACTTAAACTACCACAACTATACTGATATCTTTCTAATTTATCCACCCAAAGTTTCTGTGATTTAAACAACTGCCTACAATATTTAAACGCCATGCTGAACGCAGTAAGAACAAAAAGTGAACCCAGCACCTACTTCCACAATACTTGATCCTTCTTCTATATATCTGAATTAAGCTACCTGACATCACCAACCACCCACTTACCCGAGTCAGAAATCTCAGGATCATCTTACTCCTCCCATCTAAACCTATGACTGTCATTTCCAAAAGATTTCTCAACTACAGTGAACACCAAATGATTATCATGGGAGTTCACCTCCATCCCTGGCCACAACTGACTGTTTCAGAGGTAGGGACCTGAACCAATTAATTTCAATCATAGCCACTCTCCAGGAATTTGAAACCAAGGCTAAATGGTTTACTCTATAACAAAGGAGAACTCGAAAGCCATTGGCAGAGACCATTTCTGTCATGAGGCACAGAATTCAGGAAAAATTTACCTATATCAAGAAAAGCAAAAATAGAACTTAGAGGGGAAAAAAGGAAGATGGTAAGAAGATTCATAAAAGCATTCATGACTCTAGTTTGAGCTATTCCTAAAACCCAGGTGCATTCTTATATGTCCTATGAGACGTTTGTGTTCTAATAATAAATCCCTCCCTCTTTTTTTGGGGGGGGGGTGGCTAAACCAATTTAAGTTTGGTCTCTGCTACCTACAACCAAGAGTCCCAACTAATATATACTCCTTCCTCCCCATTCTTAAAGCAGCAGCCCTAGATCAGATCTGCTTATCTCTCACTTAGACAACTGGAAAAACCAAGTTAGTCTCCAAAATCCCAGTCTTTCCTGCTCCCTTTCATTCTCCAACCCCCACCCTAAATACCTTTAAGTATCATAAAAGGCGTGTCTGACCACAGTACTCCTCTTCTTTGACTCCCTGTCATAAAGACGACTGTTACGCCTTTTCTTTCCTACCAATAGAACCCAATTTCATTTGGAGATGTAATGTGCCTCCCTTGCTGGAGAGTGAAACCTTAATCAAGTCTCCAATAAGGTGGAAATGAAAGTACTATTTAGGACTTTCTGGAAGTTACAAAAAAGAGGGCATCCTCGTTCCTGTTATCTACACTAAGAGGTACATTTTAAAGACAATGGAGGAACAAAACTAGAAGACTTGGTCCCAGAAGACCACACTAAATTGCCTACTTGATTTCTTCTATATGAAAGAAAAGTTAGAGATTGGTTCAAGATGGCAGAGTAGAAGGACGTGCGCTCACTCCCTCTTGCAAGAGCACTGGAATCACAACTAACAGCTTAACAATCATTGACAGGAGAACACCGGAACTCACCAAAAAAGATACCCCACATCCAAAGACAAAGAAGAAGGTGCAATGAGATGGTAGGAGGGGCACGATCACAATAAAATCAAACCCCATAACCACTAGGTGGGTGACTCAAAACTGGAGAACAATTATACCACAGAAGTCCACTGACTGGAGTGAAGGTCCTGAGCCCCATGTCAGGCTTCCCAACACGGGGGTATGGCAACAGGAGGAATTCTCAGAGAATCAGACTTTGAAGGCTAGTGGGATTTGACTTCAGGACTTCAACAGGACTGGGGGAAATAGAGACTCCACTCTTGGAGGGCACACACAAAGTACTGTGTGCACCATGACCCATGGGGAAGGAGCATGGGTCTAGACTCAACTAGACCTACCTGCTAGTGTTGGAGGGTCTCCTGCAGAGGCAGAGGGCAGCTGTGGCTCACTGCAGGAACAAGGACACTGGCAGCAGAAGTTCCAGGAAGTACTCCTTGGTGTAAGCCCTCCCAAATTCCACCATTAGCCCCACCAAAGAGCCTTTACACTCCAGTGTTGGGTCGCCTCAGGCCAAACAGCCAACAGGGAAGGAACTCACCCATTAGCAGAAAAGAGGATTAAAGTTTTACTGAGCTTTGCCTACCAGAGCAACACCCAGATCTACCCACCACCAGTCCCTCCCATTAGGAAATGCACAAGCTTCATAGATATACTCACTCACCAGAGGGCAGACCGCAGAAGAAGAACCACAATCCTGCATCCTGTGGAACAAAAACCACATTCACAGAAAGATGGACAAGATAAAAAGGCAGAGGATTATGTACCAAATGAAGGAACAAGATAACACCCCAGAAGAACAACTAAAGAAGTGGAGATAGGCAACCTTCCAGAAAAAGAATTCAGAATAAGGATAGTGAAGATGATCCAGGACGCAGGAAAAAGAATGGAGGCAAATACCGAGAAGATGCAAAAAATGTTTAACAAAGACCTAGAAGAATTAAAGAACAAACACCTAGAAGAATGAAAAAACAAACAGAGACGAACAATACAATGACTAAAATGAAAACTACACTAGAAGGAATCAACAGCAGAATACCGAGGCAGAAAAACAAATAAGTGACTGGGAAGACAGAATGGTGGAACTCACTGCCACAGAACAGAATAAAGAAAAAAGAATTAAAAGAAATGAAGACAGCTTAAAAGACCTCTGGGACAACATTAAACAAACCCACATTCGCATTATAGGGGTCCCAGAAGGACACGAGAGAGAGAAAGGACCCGAGAAAATATCTGAAGAGATTATAGTACAAAACTTCCCTAACACGGGAAAGAAAATAGCCACCCAAGTCCAGGAAGCGCAGAGAGTCCTAGGCAGGAGAAACCCAAGGAGAAACTTGCCGAGACACATAGTAGTCAAACTGACAAAAATTAAATACAAAGAAAACTTATTAAAAGCAAGAAGAGAAAAATGACAATCCACATACAACGGAACTCCCATAAGGTTAACAGCTGATTTCTCAACAGAAACTCTACAAGACAGAGGGGAGTGCCACGATAAATTTAAAGTGTTGAAAGGGAAGAACCTACAAGCAATATTCCCCAGGAACAATCTCATTCATATTCGACAGAGAAATCAAAAGCTTTACAGACAAGCAAAAGCTAAGAAAATTCAGCAACACCAAACTAGCTCTACAAGAAATGCTAAAGGAATTTCTCTAAGGGGGAAACAAAATAGAAGAAGAGGACCTACAAAAACAAACAAAAAACAATTAAGCAAATGGTAATAGGAACACACATTTCGATAATTACCTTAAATGTGAACGGATTAAATGCTCCAACCAAAAGACACAGGTTCACTGAATGGATACAAAAACAAGACCCATATATATGCTGTCTACAAGAAACCCATTTCAGAACTAGGGACACATACAGACTGAAAGTGAGGGGATGGAAAAAGATATTCCATGCAAATGAAAATCAAAAGAAAACTGGAGTAGCAATACTCCAATCAGATAAACTAGACTTTAAAATAAAGAATGTTACAAGAGACAAGAAAGGACACTACAAAATGATCAAGGGATCAATCCAAGAAGAAGATATAACAATTATAAATATATATGCACCCACCATAGGAGTACCTCAATACATAACGCAAATGCTAACAGCTATAAAAGAGGAAATTGACAGTAACACAATAATAGTGGGGGATTTTAACATCTCACTTACACCAATGGACAGATCACTCAGACAGAATATTAATAAGGAAATAAAAGCTTTAAACAACAAAACAGACCAGTTCAATTTAATTGATATTTATAGGACACTCCATCTGAAAAAAAGATTACACTTTCTTCTCAAGTACACATGGAACATTCTCCAGGATAGATCACATCTCAGGTCACAAATCAAGCCTCAGTAAATTTAAGAAAATAGAAATCATATCAAGCATCTTTTCCAACCACAATGCTGAGATTAGAAATACATTACAGGGAAAAAAACGTAAAAAACACAAACACATGGAGGCTAAGCAATACATTACTAAATAACAAAGAGATCACTGAAGAAATCAAAGAGGAAATCAAAAAATACCTAGACACAAACACAATGAAAACATGATGATCCTAAACCCATGGGATGCAGCAAAAGCAGTTCTAAGATGGAAGTTTATAGCTATACAAGCCTAACTCAAGAAACAAGAAAAATCTCAAATAAACAATCTAACCTTACATCTAAAGGAACTAGAGAAAGAAGAACAAACAAAATCCAAAGTTAGTAGAACAAATCATAAAGATCAGAGTGGAAACAAATGAAACAGAAACAAGAAAACAATAGCAAAGATCAATAAAACTAAAAGCTGGTTCCTTGAGAAGATAAACAAAATTGATAAACCTTTAGCCAGATTCATCAAGAAAAAGAGGGAGAGAACTCTAATCAATAAAATTAGAAATGAAAAAGGAGAAGTTACAACGGACACCGCAGAAATATAAAGCATCCTAAGACACTACTAAAGCAACTCTATGCCAATAAAAAGTTAACCTAGAAGAAATGGACGAATTCTTAGAAAGGTATAACCTTCCAAAACTGAACCAGGAAGAAACAGAAAATATAAACAGACCAGTCACAAGTAATGAAACTGAAACTGTGATTAAAAATCTCCCAACAAACAAAAGTCCAGGACCAGAGGGTTTCACAGGTGAATTCTATCAAACATTTACAGAAGAGCTAACACCCATCCTTCTCAAAGTCTTCCAAAAAATTGCAGAAAAAGGAACACTCCCAAACTCATTCTACGAGACCACCATCACCCTAACACCAAAACTAAAGATACTATAAAAAAAGAAAATTACAGACCGATATCACTGATGCAAATGGAAAAACCCTTAAAAAAATGCTAGCAAATAGAATCCAACAACACATTAAAAGGATCACACACCATCATTAAGTGGGATTTATCCCAGGGATGCAAGGATTCTTCAATATATGCAAATCAATCAATG